ACGATGCAATACAGGTACGCCGACTGAGTTACCGGGGACGGATGAGCATTGTTCCGGAGAGTTAACAGCTGGCTATTTTGAAACGAAAAAAGTTACAGTATGCCTAATAAATGAGATAGTGGTTGCAGAGGGAGACTAAACGAGGGAAGAGAGGGACAAAGAAACTCACAATACGTACGCCACTGAGGTCGGCTGCTAGCCATCTCCGCAAGTGTATCCAGCTAAACGTGTTCATCGTCTTTCGGACCACAACCAGGGAACTGAGACACTCCAACTGATGCCAATTTCTAACTAAGGGCGTTCATTCCTCTTGACCAACTCATCGCTTGGCCACCTCTCCCAGCCACACCCCCCGGCGCGCAAAGAACGCACGTCGGGAAAGTTGATGGGTTGGCATGCGCAACACGTGGCCCAGCCATCTGAGCCTGGTGCGTGAAATAACGGTGCTGAGCCATAAATAGGGCGTGGAGCACGTTCGTTGCTCACACGGTGTTTCCTTCAGATATAAGCCAAGCTGCGAAGTACCGGTGGTTGAATGTAACTAGCCTCTGTTCCCAAGACCATTTGCAGCTTTCGTTAGGCCTCACTTAGAATACTGTGTACAGTCAGCTCGGAGAACCGCCCAAAATCCGCACAGGCTTATCTTCTCTGTCTAGTCCGGGACAATATGGCAGTTGACCGATTCTTACGGTCGGGGACGAAAATCACATTTCAATTAAGGAAGCTGTCGTACCCTGTGAGGCTACTCAAGCTGGACACGTTTTTTATGTACTACTGACGATTTCGGAGTGACCTAGCCCTCATCTATCGCATAGTAACCGGACAGATCGGCTCTGGTTTATCTGGACTGTTCCATCCCACTCGGATACCAGCTTTACGTGACCATCCACTGAAGTTGCATAAACCCCGATCGGACCGGGTTGAAACATTCTCGGTTGGCACGCCAGGTTGTAAACTCTTGGAATGCGCTGTTCGCGGCACTAGTGATGACACCATCGGTGAAAAAGTTCGAACATCAACTTGACGCCCTTGGTCTGCAGTTTAAAACTTTCCTCTTCACATCTCAGCTTTGCTCTTATCTGTTGAAGCTTACTCCTCTTTAATTTTCTATTTGCATCCCAAAATCTTTACGTTTATTGTCCCGGTTTAACTTGTTGTTGTTCTTCCCATTTTACTTCATTTCACGTGGCCGCTACAGCGAGGACCTGGATCCCGTGTACCTACAGCTGAGAAAGCGTGGAACTGCGGGGTAGGAAATCGAACAAAGGTCACGGGACACAGATCGACGAGGCCAATTTCAAACGCTACCTCCCGACGGCACTTTCCGTTAGCTTTTTCTCCACGCACCAGTGCACCGAGGATGCCACTAAGGGAAGTGGTGAAATGTTTGTCATTAACTTACTCAGCTCGGTGAACGAACTAAAACGTTAACTACCAACCCGAGCTACAGGTATTCTGAATCATTGCAGACGTTTTACTAAGTGGAACATTCATGAGATGCTCCTACTATTCCGATCCCACTGGAATTTGAACTTGTATAGCATGATTGTCCGAGTATAGCCCTAACCTCAACCTTAACTATTAATCCACCATCTATATTAGCACTAACTACTTTGAAATTTAGGTTTTTAGTTCAGGATACAAGAAATCTAACCCTGACCCCCAACGTAGGTTTAACTCAGCATCCAAACTCGCCCGTATTCCTGGCTATTTTCACCCGCGAATTCTCCGGTCTCTATACCTTTCTCACTGCATTGTTTCAGGGGGGAACATAGTCACTATAGCTAGCTTCGGCCGCATGGCAATTACTCAACTGACTGACCGGATGTTCACGGACTTATCTTAATCCCTTTGGATAGTCCTTTTAGACGCTATCGAGAAATGCTGGACATACGCATTCATCACCTACCAGCTGCTTTGCTTCGCTACATAAGGAATGAACACGGGGCCATTGAAAACCATAAAAAGGAAACTAAAGCTTCAGGATAAGAAAGCGTAACGTTTTTGTCTGCTTTTAGACGCCTTTTATAATGCAGTTGAATGAAGCGGAACGTACTAAGGGCGAATATTATTACTCCGAAAGAATAACTTATATTCAGCACGCAACTGAGACATGTAGGCCGAAACGAAATATGAGGTTATACTAAGCTATGTATAAGTGCGAAATTTATTGCTTGTAAACTAAGGGATAAGTGGAGGGCTTTAGGTATCGTGGTTATGCTGATTATTTGCTCGCTCTATTTTGTGATGGATCACGTGGAGAACGGAAGCACTCGAAACCGCTATGTCATTATTTTGCTTAGTCCATTTCAACATGGCTTTCGTTGTGGCCATTCATTCGTGTGCAGTTTCCTTGTTCAACATGGACGCCGGGCGAATGCCGTAGATCAGGGTCAAGCAGCGGATCTCCTCGAAACGTCCCTATGTTCCCGCGTGTACCAGTGAATTTTATTTGGCATATTTGGTCGTGTACTTAGATGGATATCGGTTTTTCTGGACGGTATAGTGATGGCTATGCTAGTTAAGTTAAGGCTATTTTCCGAAACTCCGTCCTCGCTAGGGTTCCACATAAATCAGTCTGATCGTTTTACATGTAAATGAACTGCGCCGGAGTCTCAAGTGTACCATCCTTCATGCTTGCAGCCAACTTCAAATTCTAGTACCCAGTGACGGACTCCGATAGTCTCTAGGATTTGCAACGGTCTCTCGACGATCTTTGAGTATTGTCTGTTCTGTGACCAATTCCTGGCCGGCCCGTCGCCTTAAGGATTACAAACCTGTCTTATAATCCGAGAGAGCGGGTTGGAGCCTGCCTAGAGACCTGGCGACTCTTGCAGTATCCTTAGCTCACGTGTGACTAGTGGTGGTTGCGCGGCAGCGGAGCGTCGGTATTGCGTACTGCTGATTCCCATAACTGATGATGTGTCCAGTTTTAAGCATAGGGTCGACTGACCCGCAGACACATTATCAGTTTGACAAGAATGAATTGACTCTTGTTAACCAGCTTGTTTATTTGCGTGCCGCCCTGTTATTCCATTTTAAGTCCAGGCAGAACTGTAAGAAGGCCATGCACGAGGGATTTGGGGAGCTGTGGATGATCCACCAGTCTTTCATAATCATCACAGCGGAAATATTAGCCAGGTCGTTCTCAGCCCTCTTTATGTCGCACCTAGAATACTACGTCCGGGCTTGCCCACCGTGCCTGGTTCGTGATACGATTTCAATGGAGCGATCCCTGAAGTTTGCTATCAAGCTAGCACATGGGTTACGGTACCTACAGTGTCCGGGAAAATTCCTCAAGCTGTTTTCGCTGTAGTATCAACGACATCTTGGCAAGGCAAGACATTCATAAGTAGTGCGCCGGTACGCAGTACGGACGTTCCTCTGCTGCGTAACCACCATCATTTGCACGTTGGCTAAGGATACCGCGAGAGCTGCCCGGTGCCTACGCAGGCTCGAACCCGTGCCCTCGGATTAAAAACTAGGGTTGTAATCCTTACGGCTACGGGGCGGCTCAGCGAAATAATGGCTACTTGGCTCCAACCTATCACGCACTGATAGGGAATACTGGCCCTGATTTGTCTTGCCTTTTTCAGTTATCATCTTCCCGTGGTCTTTTCATGCAGTTTTACAGGATACAGTGCATGAGATTTGGACCGACATTCAATTATCAGGATAGCAATCAGGCGTATAGAACGCGCTACTCAAGGACGGCAAGGAATTTGAACATTGACCTGACGCCCTCGTACTGCAATGTGGATTGAAGTCCCTCACTTCGAACCTGGCGTCAGTTGGTGTTTCCTGACTACCGGGCTGCGGATCGAAGGACAGTGAACACGTTTGTTTGACGAGTAGCCGATCTCAGTGGCGTTCGTGTTGTGACTCTTTGTCCCTCTCCCGCCCATAGCCTGGATCTCAAACCCAATAAATATGATTTTAGCATTGTTATTTTTTTAGCTTTTGTAGTCTGTAATCTTTACTCTCATCATTTTTGTAGTTCGGCACATTAACTGAGGTTCCTCACCCTCGGCTAACATGTATTGATGATGCTGACTGCAATTTCAGATTTTTCTTTTTCCATTCTTGATTCCATTTCTGCTTACCGGAATTACCCTATTTTTAATTTGCTTTTGGTTATGGCCGTCTTTATGTTATTTTAGTGTTTTGTATCTCATTTCACATAGTTTTCGCAATATGGACTGGCAGTGCAAATCAGGTGAACACTACTTGGTTGATCATGGTGGGGCTTTGCGCGTACTGATTTGGCCCTCCTAGATTGTGTCAGTTGCCGCCGAACAGTAACCTGGCACAATGACTCACTTACCAACCTGACTCACATTCATCAGGTTATCTAGACGTGCATCGTTATTAGATGCGCCGACCATGAACGGCTCAGTTACCCATGGATCAGTCCGCACATCTGTCTGGCGACCGATGCCATGCAGGATAACAACAACCGGAGATGACGCGCATACAGTTATGGGTGTTAGCCTAGGTTCATATAGATCCACGCGGAACGTTTCATCCAACTAATTAAAATGACCCAACTGTTTAGAACAATTTAAAGAAATATCGAGTTGAGAGAGAGAGAGATATCAGCAGTACGCCGGTACATAGTACTGACACTTCACTGCTGCGCAATCACCGGTCGCATATGGACTAAGGATACCGCGAAGGTCGCCACGCCCCTACGCAGGCTCGAACCTGCGACTTCAGATTACAAGACAAGCTTGTTACCTTTAGGCTACGGGCCGACATGAAGATTGGTGTGATGGGACAGCTGTGTTAGTGCATGATAACCTTGGCCATCAGTTGTGTTAAAACTATCTTTTATCGGTTATCATAGATGACTGTAGCTTGTCGCGGTCCGTCATGCGTCATTCCTATCTTACGGATTCGACCACATATATAGGTTTTTGCATATACGCGGGCTTTCTTGTTTATTTTTACGGTCAATTCTATTTTCTTCGTTAGCTGTTATTGCTGTTTCCTTCTCCTCAGCTCGTCGCTCATCATTACCTCTTCGGTGCCCAATGACGGATTCTCTTGTCGATTCCACTGCTCTACTCTCTATATGTAACGACAAAACTAATGTCAGCGATCAAAGACATGAAGATCACATGCTTTTGGGTGACACATTCGATGCTCAATTACCACCCACCCTGAACTTGCCCAGCTTGCAGCCTCCGACTATTATTATTCACCCCATACACAACTCCAGTTCCTTGGTCGATACGTGTGATATTTGGTCTGCTAATTTACCCGCTGCTGCCAGTCCTCTTCTCAAGGGTTCCCTCGAATCTTTGCGATGCGTAACCAGTGGAGATGCAAAAGTTGTGTATGAGTGAGTACCATATGTTCACCCACTTTTGGATAATCTTGTATCTCATTTATGATTGCACAAGCGCCGTTCGTTGACTAAGACAACTTCTGCTTTAGGGAATACAGCTAGTCTTACGGTTTGAATTGAACCCTGTCATACTCCCGGCCTTTTTGGGTAACTTTTGTTATTAACGTGTTCCAAGTCGTCTTTTACCCATATGTACATTTCGGTCATCGCACGATTGTTTCCGGTCTAATGCGCGTAGTCATGTTATATGTTTTTGTTTAACGTTCCGAGGAATAGGTTTCGTTTGCACTTACTACTCTGTGCGTACTCACATCCTTTTGATTACCGGGAACTCTGCTGTCCCAGTAGTACGCTTCCTGGATCACTTATCTGATGTTTATCTTCCTCCACAGCTCACGCTTCACCATCGTGAATTACGGCCACATGTAGTGTCTGCAACTTCGGACATCACGTTCTGTATAGTTCATTGATCGAAGGAAGGATTGGTATACACCATTACTCGATTATTGCACCACGAAAACTTAGCTGCTAGTCGTCTTTCACTAACGGTGCTCACGTAATATCTAGTATGTATTTTTGGAACCACCGAATGAGGTGTAAAACACGCCAGTTGATCTTCATATAACTAACTAAAGGCTTATTCTCAAAGAAAGCAGACACGCCATAATATGGCATGATCAGTGATCTCATTGAGTTGTCGTCTGCGGTCCAATCCTCTACAGTGTCAGCGATGCTTCGGCAATATGTGTCATTGCTTAACTACCGTGCAACCGGGAGTGTTGATGCCTCATCATTTGCACTTTAGCTGCAGGTGAGAAGCATTTTGGCTATGTCACAATCCTAATCCATTAGGAGGTCGCAGAAAAATATGAGAACGAAAAGCGGCATCAAAATAGCACCAACGACTATTATGCGTCTGCGTTCAGGTCACACGTTTGGAGGAGCCTAAGTGGGATGGAGAGTGTCAAACGAACTCACTACACAATCGCTCATGGCTATATCAACCAGTATATCCAAGCAAACATGTTCAGCATCTTTTGGAACCCAACCAGAAAGTCGCGATGCTCCGACCGAGGCCAACTTCATACTCATCATCATTGTGGACGTTAGCTAGAAGTGTAAAACACCTCCGCTACTTTACCGCAATACATAAATGAAAAGAAGAAAATCAATGCAACAGTTGCATGCCAGCTGAGCCACTAGCAACCGATGGGCATCGTTCTGGAAAGCTACCAGCCTACATTCCAGACTACATCTTTCTTGATTACGTCCTCGATTGGTCTCCCCTTTTCTTCTTCATTCACGCCCTTTCTCACAAGCAGAGCACGTCGCGGAAGCCGGTGGGCTGGCATGCGCTACACTTGACTCAAGTATCATAGTCTGGTACTTGATATAATGGTGCTGAGTGGATCGCCTACTCTTTCTATCGTTCTATAGCCTTAAGTATCACAGGTTTGTGTGCCTCAGCGATCCATTGAGCTATACTGGTTGGTGCATTTTTGCACCTTCAGAGTCCCTCATACCAGGTTGGTCAATGGTTAGAGGCCAGACAAACTCAGCCTCCTGGTCCTCCAGGTTGGTGGTTGGAATGAGGGTGGCTCCTTATTCCTTAAAACGGACTCCTGGTAGCCTAGTGCCAAGCCCGCTGCCTTACGGACAGGTTTTTGAACCAAAAGCTTTGGTTGAGAACCCTAATCGTTCTCCTGTCTAGGCCTGGGCAACTTGACAGTATCATGCCCACGCAATACAATGAATCTCACTTCAAACAAATTTCTGATGCTCTGGCCACCGCAGAGGATAATCAACGGTGCCCTATCTGCTGCATCGGGCAGGGTTAATAGGGGTTTGGATGCTGCTGCTCAAGCCTTCTCGTCTTCTTATTCCCCCTCTTACGCTTTTTCACCCTTATCGTCCCGTTCCAGCTTCACTTTTATCCCCCCCCTGTTTTCAACTCCCCAATTCTCGGTTCTCCCCCACCTTGCTTCAATAGTCGCCTGTTTTTTAGTTTCAACTCACATGTGAACGCGGAGCGTCATTCCTGCCCTGTCAACAGGCCTATGTCCAAGCAAGCGGCCCATTCCAGTTCATCGGCTTCCATTTGGAGCCCTCGATCCTCCTTCAGATTGGTATGCCTCAATGTTCGCACATTGCTTCAGATCGGTCAACAGGCAGCACTTGCCCGAACATTGGAGACCCTCCCGATCGATATCTGCTGCTTATCAGAGACCCGCCTGCAAGACTCGAGCTCTGTGCTCACTTTGCGATCCCCTTCAGGTGACGCAAACAGTATTTTCTCATTGCGCCTATCCTGTGACGATATAACTTCGAGCACCGACCAAACCGGTGTTGGTATTGTCCTGAGTCCCCGGACTGAAGCTGCTCTGGTTGATTGGATTCCAATCAGTAGCCGGATATGTGCGTTCCGATTGGCTGGCTCGTTTAAAGCTTCAAATTCGCGCGGGACTAACAGGTGTCTATTCGTTATCGCTGCCTAGGCGCCCACAAACTGTGGCGATGACTCGGTAAAAGACGACTTCTGTCGTCAATTGAACGAGCTCCTTAGCCACAGAAGAAGCTCGGACACTGTAGTGCTGGTCGGGGATCTGAACGCTCGAGTTGGAAGATTATCCACAGACGAGCTGCATCTGGGCGGCCAACATGGTATAGGCTCCCGTAATGATAACGGTGAGCGGTTACTTCTTTTGTGTGAAGATGCTCGCTTATTTCTTGCGAGCACTAATTTCCGACACAGCACCCGCCGGTGGGTGACTTGGCGCCCACCAGCCATAGACGCAAATCGATCACATTGCTATTAGTTACCGCTGGAGAGGCTGCTTCCAGAACTGCCGCTCGATTTGGAGCACATGTGTGGACACCGATCATGCACTTGTATGTGCTGACCTGCGGATGCTCTTTGGCGGACGCCCACGAAGACGTTGTGAGCGCATTGACACCAGCCAACTGGCAACGCCAGCTTTTCTGAATGCCTATCAAAATACGCTGTCATGCGAGCTGGATGAACGCTCACTGGATGCAATTGAACGTCACTGGTCTCATATTAACCAGTCCTTACTAGCAGCAGAAAAATCCTCATGTGGTACGTCTAATCACCAACATGGACATTGGGTCTCTTCACAGTCTCTGGAACTTATAGATGCTCGCCGGCATATTCCGGCTGGAAGCGAACACAATGAAACTCGCAAAGAGCTCTGGGCAAAACTCCGTGCTAGCCTGAAAAGAGACCGCGAATCCTGATGGTCTCATCGTGCATCAGAGATGGAAATGGCCGCTGCCCTTGGTAACCATCGTAAGTTATTCCGTCTGATACGAGAAACGGGCAGCAGGAGATCTGGTTTTAGTGAAACTATACGTGACGAGAGTGGACAGCCTATCCACAACTTATCAAAACGCTTAGAGCGTTGGGCTGAGCACTTTAAAAGGCAATTTAATCGGTCGGAATGGTTAGATTTCTCGCCGGCCACTGATCGCCCCGCTCCGTGGGCTGTCCCTTTAGATCCACCCTCTCGCTCAGAAGTCGAACGTGAGATCGGACTGTTGAAGTTAAATAAAGCCGCGGGACCTGATGATCTTCCTCCAGCCCTCTTCAAATTCGGGGGACCTGCTCTTGTGGATGATTTACACGAGTTACTAGTGAAACTGTGGGAGCAGGAAACTGTCCCAACCGATTGGAGCCGCTCCGTCATAGTCCCAATTTTCAAGGGAGGCTCACGATCGGAATGCGGCAGCCATAGAGGAATCAGTCTGATCTCCATCGCCTTCAAATTGCTTGCCTCTGTCATCTTCACAGACTGACTGGCACTCGTGAAAGCCAGATTCGTGAAGAGCAAGCTGGATTTCGTCGTGGTCGTGGCTGCATTGACCACATCTTCACCTTGCGTCAGTTGTTGGAGCACCGTCACACATATTGGCGGCCCACCGTTGTCGTGTTCCTCGACTATCAAAGGTGCATTCGATTCGGTGGATAGACATGCACTTTGGGACTGTCTACTCAGGAAAGGTGTACCTGAGAAATATGTGAATATTATCCGAGCATTGTATGCGCGTAGCTAGGGCAGAGTGAGGGCTTACGGCAAGTTGTCGTCGCCCTTTAATATCTCCAGCGGCGTGAGACAAGGATGCCCGCTGTCACCTTTCCTCTTCAACTTCGCTGTTGACGAAGTCATGGAAATCGCGTTCACAGGACACGACTTTGAAGGTGTGGATCTGCTCCCAAGAGAACGACTTCTTGACTTAGAGTATGCTGATGATATTGCCTTAATCTGTGACAGCTCACAAACATGTCAAGCGGCACTGGACAGATTAGCACTAGCTGTCCGTCACTTCGGGCTTTGCTTCGCACCCTCGAAGTGCAAAGCGTTCCTCCAAGATTGGTCTGGACCGCCTCCTACGCTGACCCTTGGTGGGGATCAGCTAGAAGTCGTTCAAAAATTCAACTACCTGGGAAGTTGTATCAGCGTCCGTGGGATTGAGGATGAGATCACGAACCGTATAGCAAAAGCTCGGGGCGCTTTTGCTAACCTTCGCCACTTATGGCGCCGGCGCGACATCACTCTCGCCCTGAAGGGTAGAGTGTACAATGCAGCGGTACGTTCGACCCTACTGTACGGTTGTGAAACCTGGCCGCTTAAAGCAGCGGACCTGAAGAGGCTAGTTACGTTCGACCACCAGTGCCTTCGTAATTTAGCTCACATCTGGTGGGAACACCGCGTGAGCAACGAGCGTGTTCGACGCCTTGTTTATGGCACAGGAAAAGGAATTGAACCGCTCAGCACCGTTATTTCACGCACCAGGCTCCGATGGCTCGGCCACGTGTTACGCATGCCAGCCCACCGACTCCCGCGACGTGTGTTGTTTGCGCGCCGGGGGTGTGGATAGAAGAAGAGGAGGGGTGTCCAAGCGATGACTTGGTCGAGAGGAATGAAGGCCCTCACTTCTGAGCTGGCATCGGTTGGAGCGTCTCGGCTCCCTGGTTGGGGTCCGAAAGACTATGAACCCGTTTGGTTGGACACACTTGCTGATATGGCTAGGAGCCGACCTCAGTGGCGTTCGTGCTGTGAGTTTCTTTGTCCCATCCCATCCCTCTTAGCCTCTCCCTCCAACCACGATCTCATTATTTAGCCTTATATAATTTTGCATAGTAATTTTTTTGATGCACAGTAGCCGGCTGGTAGCTTACCGGAACGATGCCCATCCGTTACCGGTAGCTCAGCCGGCTTGCAGCAGTTGCATTTTTTCTCTCCTTTTTCTGTGTATTGCGGCACAGTAGCTGAGGTGTTCCCCACCTCTAGCTAACGTGTATGATAATGATGAAGTACCACAAGCCTATCTTGTAATCCGGAGGTCGCAGATTCGCGCCTGCGTAGGGGATTGGGCGACTCTCACAGTATACTCAGCTCACTCGCTACTGGTGGTGGTTGCGCGACAGCGAATTTTCGGTACTGCGTACTG